CACAATTAATTGTGATTAATTTTTTTGCCAATATCGCCCAACCCTAGTCAGGAAGAGCCTGCAGTGTAAAATAATGGCTAAATCTTTTAAGTCTGAACTCTGTGCTGACCCCTGCTAGAAGGGAGCAACCAGTAAGTGACAAGCCCAAATTAAGARTCAAGTGCTCAAACTTTTTGCCAATGTTCATTATTTTATAATATACACAACGTAAAAGCAAAAAGTCAAAATCATCTTTGGTGCCATTTCTTCATATCTATCAGTGCTCTGACTGGGCAGGATCTTAACAGATAGCATGACTTCCAAGAGATTCTTTGCATAGCCTCAAGTTAATCACTCAGCTGAGAGGAAATTAAGCTTTAACTGTCACACTTTGAGTTTAAGGAGCTTTGTTGCAAGTGGCCATTGATTTATTCATAAAAACATGACAGATTTTTATTGCACTGAAGCAAAGAGCAGCTATCGGACAGTGTTAGCATTTTCCAAAGTGCTTTCATTCTGCACATTTTCACAGATGATGAGAGCCGTTAATTTATTCTGTTCTAAACTTCATGTTATTGCATATATTTTAGATTTTTCTTACAGTTTTCCATGAAAGTATTCTACCTTAAGTAGTTTTTCATGCTTTTGTAAAAGAGCTCATTAGCATATTGACATAAATATGTTCAAGGGGTCATTTCTCAATTTATTTTAGGTTGTAATCAAAACATAAGTTTGCACACATCATCAGTCATAAAATTCAATCCAAACTGTCAAAGAGATCTTTGTGAAGATTAGAGGTTATTATCTTAGCTCTCTGTAAGAGCTGTAATAAAAAATCTTAAAAGACTGTAGATACAAAATGAACCTTGTGGAGTATGGAGATGTGTGTGATAAAATTTCAGATATGAATACATCAGTGCAGAGAGAGTCGCCTTCCACACTGCCTGAAAGACTAGCTTGGCTTTGATGGAGGAATAATGCGTCCGTGGATCATTTTCAAATGAAAGTGAATATTTCTCAGAGGAACAAAGCTTTGCTCTGTGCATTAGTGGCGTTTACTTCTCTTGTGTGTGCTGCTCACCAGCAGAGTCTGCTCCATGTCCACAGGAGAATATGGCGGTGGACCTTCCATGCCCCACGGAGCTTCTTGTAAGACGTCTGGGTTGGGCAGGCAAATCTGACGAGACACTACGAAGTGAACGCGCTGCTCACTTGCCTAAAGGAAACAAACAAACAAAAAGACAGCAGAAAGTTGTGACATAAGGTGRGAATCAGTGTGTGTGTTTTTAATGTCTGCGTGGTATGAGGCGTAAAATGAAGTGTTAAAAAATTTCACTAACATATTTTTCATCATTTAGCTCACTGTTCTTACAATTAGCTCATTTTTACTAAATGTTAAATTTAAATGTTAAAAA